AGAGGCTGTTGGCGACTTTCTCCTTCTCCTTGAGCTTCATTTGAACTTGATCTTGATAAATCTCGGTAGGCGTGAGAGGTAGGAGGATAATTTTGCGACCTTTGAACTCGAATGAGTGCTTGTTGGTGTAACCGTCGTGTATCACCCTACGATCTGATTGCCACGGTCTGCCTAGCAACACATGACTCGAACCCATGGGAATGACGTCACATAGAATCTCATCTTCATACTTCCCAATGGATAGAGAAACCATCACTTGCTGAGATACGGTCAAGGCTCCACTGTCATTCAACCACTGAAGCTTATACAGCCTTGGATGAGGAATAGTCTTGAGCTGGAGCTTCTTAACCATCTCTTCGCTTGCAGCATTAGTACAACTTCCTCCATCTATGATCAGGCTACAAACTTTTCCTTGAATGATGCATCTCGTATGGAACAGGTTCTCTCGCTGACAAGTCTCTTCTGGTTGACTCTGAACACTCAAAGTCCTTCTGGCAACCAGCATCTCGCCCACAGCAGCAGCTTCTTCCTCTTCCTCTAATTCATATTCGGCCTCTGAATCCTCTTGAGGAACTATCTCTCCTCCCTCATGTAACAAGAAAACCTTCTTGTTTGGGCAATCTCGAGAGTAATGTCCCATTCCTTGACATTTGAAACACCTCACATTGCTGATAGAAGTGCCACCTCGAGGCTTGAACTCAGCTTTAGCTTCTTCTTTAACTCCAGTAGATGGCGGTTTGATGTCTCCGGAGTAATCTGGCTTGCTGATCTCCTTAGGCTTAGGCACACTAGGCGTGAATGTGGACTTGAAATTTCGTCTTTTGACTTGAGATTCCACCAATTCAGCCTTATCACCATCTCTTGTATATCTGCGAAATCCTGAAGTTCCACCTTGTCTTGAATTTCTCGGTTAAGTCCTCCAAGAAATCTCGACATTACCATCTCTTCGCCTTCTCGTAAATCTGCACGAATGAGCAAAGTTTCCAATTCTTGATAATAATCTCGAACAGACTTCGTACCTTGGACAAGGCGCCTAAGCTTGTTGAGTATCTCGCGCTGATGATGGGCCGGAACGAACCGCTTCCTCATCTGTATAACGAGCTGCTCCCAAGTAGTAATCGGAAGTTCCCTCAAGCGATTTCTGGTGACTCCCAACTGCTCCCACCATAGAAGCGCATACCCATGAAATTCCGAAACTGCAATCTTCACCTTGTTGAGCTCGTAAGTTCCTTGGACCAGAAAATTAGACTCCATCTTCCTTTCCCAATCTAAATAAGCTTCGGGATCATTAGTTCCATGGAAAGGAGGATACTGGATTTTGATATGACGCAGCTGCTGTCGTAGAGGATCATAATCTCGACCATGTCCTCGGCCTCGATCTCGTCTCACAGTTTCTCTGCTATGATCAGAAGCTTCGTCCTCCTCATAGTATTTTGGGTCTGATTCCAGGGTAACTCGATGCCCAGCAATATATTCCTCTCGGCGGTGCTGACGATCTACCCTTGGGACATCTCGTTCTGCACCAGTAGGATTCCTCCTCGGATTAAACGTAGTCTCTCTGCCCCCAATTTGGCTTCGGTTGGACTTAGCTTTAGTCCTGGCTTCGGAAGGTGTTGGGTGGCGTGGAAGTTTTCGGGAAGATCCTATGTGCCCTTTACCCTTTGCTAGTCGCATTGCTTCCGAAGGAGTTGGGGTTTGAGACGACTCTTCTCCACTTGCACTGAGATCTTTGAGCAGATCACTCATCTTGGTCTCGAACTTGTCGTTGAGTTGTTCGATTTGTTGGGTGAGCTGAGTTGTTATGGCTTGATTCGCTTCTTTGATTTGTTGAGACATTGCTCGGTTCAGAGCTTCCATTGTCTCAGCCGAAAGCTCCATGGTACCTGAAAAATTTTAAAAAAAAACTCGCAGTAACTTGTTCTAGAAGAAATCACAAAACAGCAAAACTAAACTCATCATAAAAAAATTAACCGATCTCCACGAAATCTAAAAACAAACTCAAAGAAACTAATGAAATTTAACGAAAAATTTTTTTTTTTGTGTACTCTTTTTTTTTTTTTTTTGTGTACTCTTTTTTTTTTTTTTTTTTTTTTTTTCTTCTTCTACCCTAAAAAAAAAAACGAAAATATGAAGTCTCTTAGCAAATCTAAACGAAAACAAAATAACAAATTATCAAGCCTATCGAAATAAAAAAAAACGAAACCCTAGACTCGATACAATGAAGACTCGACCTAAACAACTTGAGACAAACACGATAGCAAACCGACTAAACCTAACAATAGCAAAACCCTAAAAATAGCAAACGAACTCGCTAACGATACGAAGCAATAACGATACAATATTCAAAAGGGAACAGATCGATGCACACAAATCAAACTCACTAAGCCCTAACAATCAAAACATGAATTCAAATCAAAAATCGCGATTAGGGTTAGAGATTGCTCAGCCTTTGGGTTCAGAGTTGGCTCTGATACCACGTGATACGATCCAAGGGAATCTACTCTGAAGAACAAGGCTACAGGTGGCGATATATTGACCAAAATGAAACGATGAGGCGATAAGGTGGTGGTGATGGCGCGGTGATGACTCGATGGATTTGCGATGGTGGTCTAGTGAGCGAGACAATGAGTGGCGATGGTAGTGAGTGGCTCGGATTGATGATGCGAGATGGTGGCGTGAAGATATCGGATCCGAAACGATCTGGTAGTGATGGATTCGCGAGAGTATGGTCGATGGATAAGGGATGATGGCGAGAATAGAGGATGGGGAAATCGATTAGATGATAGGTTGAAGATTTTCTTGTAAGAAACACTTGTAAGAAAATCGAATTCAATGAACTTTTTGAGTCAAGGAATCAAAGCAAACTTTGCTCTCTTTTTTACGTTAAAAATTCCAAGCTCCCTTACAAAGAGACTAAGTATCAGATACTTATAGTATCGACAAAAGACCTAGAGTACTCGCCCAAATAAACATCAAGGCATCTAAAAATAAAAACTACAGAGCGTCTGAATTAAAATTAAAACAACGAGGCGTCCCTTCTAAATCCTAAATGGTGCGCCTAGAATAAATACTAGTGCACAAGTCATTGTGACTTTGCACATTATTACCCATTAGTAACAACTTCTAAGTAACTCGACGTAGCAATGATTTCTGCCTCGTTAAAAACCTTGGAGAAGAACCTCCTTGCCTTCCAAAATCTTCACCAAGGAAAAGAGTACAGAATCATCACCTAAGTTACCTAGTCGTTGTTACTGGGTTCCTCATTCTTCAAGATAGAGATGTTGAAGATGTGAGCTCCAGCCTCCTGGTGATCGCTGTCCTCTGTGGCAATGAGTGCGTGAGCCTTCTTAGCCATCTCTCTAGCTCTGGAACGAGTGATCCTGCCAGCTACCTCTGGTTCCTCCTCTTCTGAGCTGGTCACGATCATATCACAAGTGAATTGCAGAAATTAGTTGTTGATAATAAATTATTCAGAACCAATAAAAATGGTACAAAACCAACCACACTTGGATTTCATTTAACCTTTTTCATCGTAATTAAATTGAATTGAATTGTTGGACCAATTAATTAACTTATCTTGTTTGCATATTGATCTCACTTTTATGTAACACTCACGAAAACGAAAAGATATGATTTATTAAAGATTAATAGTTCAGATCAGTGCCGTGCTTAGAGTACTAGGGGCTTAAGGCAAATAACAAGAAAAAATTTCCATTTTACTCTAATTATTTCTAAAAAATATAAGTTGTAAATCAGATTTATATATTATTTTATAAGATACTATAAAGTACTAATGCTTTTTATTAATTTATAATAAATTTTCAACCACAAAAAATAACACAAAAATATATATTAACCAATATACTAATTTTCTTTTTTTTTGGGACACCAACCAATATACTAAATAAAAATACAAAAATTAGGAGTCCTAAAACTTGTTTAATATTAAGGGGCCTAAGGCAAATGCCTTATTTTTTTTCATTAAGCACGGCTCTAGTTCAGATTACGTCTTATCTAATAAAATCAACTATAAACTACTAACCATACCACATAAAAAGAACACAAAAATATTTAACAAAGGAGTACAACAACCAACAAGCCACGAACATTTGATAGTACCAAAGTCAAATATGCGGTTTTATATATATCCACTAATAACATTCGCACTATACATAGACCAACAATAGCGTTATCTGTTTGCATTATTTCTTTATATCTTTTGGGAAAATGTTACCGAACATGTACTCGTCCCGTCATCATAATCATATGATGATCTCAAATCTCATTATGGGTTTATTTTTTAATTTAATTTTGTTGGTTGTGTGTGTGTTTTTGGTGGCATTTTTGGGGCCCATGTAGTCGGCATATGTGTTTTTGAAGGAGATAATCACAGAATATAATGAATTTAGATAATCTTGTAATAAGTCTTGGAAACTAGATTTGTAAATGAAGAGTTCAGTCTGATAGTCGACTTGATTGAATTTTGGGTTTTGAAGTTTCTTCTGGAAGAAGTATATCACACATAGTTGTAGTGTAGTACACATCCAAGACTTCAAGACTTTTGGATCCGTTTCATAATGATGAGTTAATAAAAGAATTCATGGAACAAAATTTCAACACCGGACCAGGTTATACCGAAGTCAGACCGGACCAAACTGTGAATTTATCTATTTTTTTATTTATTTAGAGGTTTAGGTCACAAGGTTTATTCTCGCTCACGCTCGAAACTCTAGCTAGAACCGATGCTTAAGCTGTAAAAGCAATAAACATAATCTCTGTATTAGAATCTGATTCGAACCCGATTCTTTAAAAAAATCTATCAATGGTGAGCACAAATGCTCATAAGACAACTGGATGAGTGAATGGGAAAATCCCACAACTATTTGATATATCGATTTAAAGTTATCTAAACGTATCAATAACCCGACAATACCTATATCATCAATGAATGATTGAGGTTTAAAGAGTTCTAAATAATTTTAAGAAATGACACCCAGCAGCGTGTTAAGTTCAGTTCATTTTCTAGACAGAGACATAGGTTTGGTTAGAAACGTTGTGATGGGCTCAATACAGCCTAGTGTGTGGGTCCAGTTTTCGTACCAAGTGGCCAAGCAGAATTTCTTTGACTTGTCCCTAATTTTTAGTTGAGTCCGGTCCCTATGGGACTTAAGATCTGGCAAGTAGTTTACGGCTATAAAGTCAGCTGTGTTGTGATGGATTCGATCCTGATTTTGGCAGACACAATGTCTTCAAGAACTTGTACAAAGCCAATCATGAAAACGTTTAATCATCATAAGCTCTATCACAACTATTGACTGCGACAAGTTCAGGCATCACGAAGACTTGTAGGAAACGCCAATACAATGGTAAACTCAGAGACCTCACTCCAATGGAACGAGTAGCTGTTGATGACTGCGATTTCAATAGAGGCAAGCAAAGTTGATCTGCGGTTTCAGAGACGCCATGACAAGAAAATCCGGGGTTCCCATTAGGTTCTACCTAACCCTGGTTGCATCATAACAACTGGACAGTTCAAAGAATCTTAAAGAGGATCTCGGGAAAAGACTAGAACAGATCACCCGCAAAACAAGTCTCTAGCAAAACGTTAGCACTAACAAACTAGTTACTCAAGAGTTAAACATACTGTAGTTACCACGGCCCAAGTCTCTCAGAGTCCGGGGTCTCTACTGAAGCTGGTATAAGCGCTAGTCCTTGTTTGAGAATCATATCTCCGAAAGAAGCAATTGTTGTAGAGAAGGCAAAGAAATAGTGGGCGGTTAGCAAGATACTAGTTGGTTGATTTAAACATGCAAGAGTTTGTTTATTATATTCTCCTGGGATTTACTATCACAATCAGTGTTAATATAGCTTGGACAACTCTAGAAACAATGTCAGGGGTTAGTTGCTTACACTGTCTAAAGTAGCTTTGGAGTGGATTTTCATGACTTGTACCACACGCCAATCTTAGACACCAGGAAGACAAAGCTCCTTCACACGGCATGAGAGGAACAACAAATGATATGATCAGCAATACACGAACATAACATAAGTTTAATAGCTGAACTACAGCACGCAGAAACTCACAAAGAAGACTGAAGCATTCAGGAAACTGGGAATTTTACAAGTATCAGGTGAAAACACTCCAGCAAATCAATACCAGTTCTCGCTACTGAAGAAAAAACATGAACTGCTAAAAGTTGAGCCTGCAAAGAGAAAACAAGAACCAAGATGTAATGTGCTATGATAATGAAAAACAAAAGGGAATTTGTTACTCTCAAGCAGCCTTCTCTTCCTTGCTCATTGCAACCGCGACTCTTATCAAGATGACCTCGACAGGCTGGTGTGCATTCTCCACCGCTTTGGCGATAGCTTGCCACTTCTCACCATGCTTCGGCTCACAAGCTACACACTTGGCAACGACCTCCTTCTGGTTCTCTTCAGAGCCATGCTGAAGTTCAAATTTGTAATACAACGCCCAGATATCACCAATATCTGGGGCGAGGGTCACAGCCCGTTTCAACCACGATCTGGCTTTCTCCACCTTCTTGTCTTGCCAGAAGAGCTTGGCGACAGCTGCAGTGACATGCGGGTCATGATCACACTTCTTCATAGCATCCATACTCTTTGTTTTCCGGCGAGGACGTGGCGCCATCTCAATGTCGGCAGCCCAGAGGATACCACTGTGGGGACACTCTTGCAGAGCCTTTGACATCATGTGCTCTGCTTCTTTCTTGTTCCCATGCCTCAGTTCAGTACGAACAGCAGCTAACCATAGCTCAGCGTTCGCAGGATTCTTCTTCCTGGCCCTGGTGAGAGTACCCCGAGCTTTGTTCGCACCATCCACTTTCTCTTCAAGATTAGCGAGCGAGAGCCACAGCGGTATGCAGTCGGGACAGTGCTCCGTGCCAGAGCTGTAAGCTTTCTTGGCCTGTTCCAGATGATTGAGCCGTTCCTCGAGCTGCCCAAGCATCAACCAAAACTTGAAGAACTTTGGAAATTGCTTCAAACCTTCATCAAGCAATCTCCTCTCCTCCTCTACGTTGCCAAGCTCTCTCTCAACAATGGCTGATTTCATCCAGACCCTCTCAGTCCCTCCTCTTTCCCTTGCTTTTGCAAGAAGCATTCTTGCCCTCTCCGGCTCCTTGTTCTCAAACTCGAGCTTGAAAGCAGCAAGCCAGATTTCCTCAGAGTTGGGTATTGCAGCATAAGCCTCTTGTAGAATAGCACGCGCTGCTGGAACATCTCCAGCAAGCCACTTCTCTTTGGCGCCCATGAGCCAGAGAACCTCAGCCTGAGGGACATATGTCACAGCCTTACGTAACAAAGCATCAAGGGACTCCCTACTCCCGTGGCTCTTCTCAAGCTGCGCCGCTTTAAGCCAGATACTTTTCTTAGTCAAGAATACAGTAAGAGCATGGGCGTATATTGCTCTTGCGGTCTCAATGGAACCCCTCTTCTTGCTCTCCTCTGCATCAGCAACCCAAGTTCTCTTTCTATCCTCTTCCTCGACTCCAATACCGATAGTGTTCTTAATAATTGCCTGGCATGTTGCGACAGACCCGGCTCTTTCAGAAGCCTCTGCCTCATTCATCCAATTTTCTCGGTCAATAACAACCCCTTCTCTCTGCAGAGTCTTTATACCCCTATCAATAATCTTTCCCACCATAGCTTTGTTCCCATTAGCTTCCTCTAGCTTAGCAGCGGTGATCCAAATTGCAGGCTCCTTAGGGAGCTTCTCTCTTGCTCTATTCAACACCTTCTTCGAATTGTCGTATGTTTCAAGCCTTGCAAGCGCCACCCATAGCTCCAGATGCAAAGGGCAGCACTCCACAGCCCTGTGAAGCAAAATCCTTGCATCTTCCTCATTAGCCAACTCAACAACAGCCTTCCATAGCCTTACCGAGTCTGGAATATGCTCCAGCCCCTTTCTCAACACCCTACTCTTGTTCTCCTCATCATGCTCCAGCTTTGCAGCCTCCAACCATAGCTTCACGGAATTGGGTATTAGTTTTACTCCCTTTGCAATCACCGCCTTGGCATCTTCTGGATTGGCCAACCTACAAGCTTCAAGCCAAACATCCTCATTTTTCGGGCACTCTTCGCAGCCTCTCTGAATCTGAAGCCTAGCCGCTTTTATTTTCCCATCCATTTCCTCCACTCTAGCGGCAGCAATCCAGCCATTGGGATTCTTTGGATTCGACTGTGTTAGACTCTTATATAACAATCTAGCCCTGTTGCGATCGTAAATCTCTTCATCAGTGGTTCTTTTCATACTTTTCAAATCAGTTAAGTAGCCTTTAGGATCCACAACAGTTTGCCCTGAAACTGAATCCGATAACCTATCAAGCTTCAGAGACAACACCGTACCTCTTCCCTCACCGACGGCAGTCAAGTCTGTCACGGGAGTCTGCGCCCATGGTGTCTCCGACCCACCAGCCGCTCGACTCTTTGGGTCTAAGGCCATGACAAGCTCTTTTTCCTTCTTAGCCTTCTCCAAAAGCGTATCAGGAATAGGCACAAAGCTCTCAAACTTCTTCTTCTTGTTACGCAGCGAGTAATCCCCAATCTCAGGAATACTATCCCATTCATCCGCAGACAAAGTGTGCAATTTCCTCTTCAAATCCGCAAACTGCTCAGTAATTTTAGGGTTTGAGGCTCGGTACTTCTCGATCTCTTCCTTGAGCTTCGCTTCTCTCCGATCTTTCCTCCTCGAATCCATCCTCTGATCAATAGACTCCCAGATCGCATCAGCTTCTTTGTCATCCTCATCGTACTCAGCATTAGCAAACAAACCCGCATCATTCCCTTCAAACTCATCAAACTTCTGATTCTCATCGTACCCTTTCTCCTCAGCTTCTTCATCGTCATCCGCCTCACTTGGCTTCCCTGCCCCTCGACCAACTCCTGGAGCAGCCGCTGTAGCCGTGGCGGATCGATCAGGCAGATCCGGAGCAGCACGAGCGGGACCAATATCAGACCGAGTGGTAAACCCTGTGGCACCACGACCCAAACCCGCGACATAATTAGACGGAGGCTTTGAATTGAGGAAATCGAGACGAGCCTTTGGCGGAGCCACTCCTTGCATACCGCCCAAAAGAGGGACATGGATAATCACAGTGGAGAAACGACAAACACCGAGATCAGATAACAGGACCGAATCGGAATTCTTCGAATCACCGAACATACGGCTAGGGTTTCGCATGCGGAGCGAGTAACGAACGAAAGGTTGGGGAACATCGGCGCGCCGGTGGACCAATTGTTCGAAGGCGGAGATGGTGGTCGAATTAGGGTTCACATCGATCGAAAGAGTCTTCCCGTTGGGAATCGAGAGGAACACCATTGTTACGTAATCGAGATTCTCAGGCCAAAGAAACAAAACGACGAATCTATATTTGCGACCGCGAATATAAAGGGGTGGAGGAAATAGTCGGTTCAGAAGCAAAGGCGGTGGAATATGTAGTGGGCTTAGGAATGGGCTTTTTTGGACCCATTTTTAGGAAATTACATTTTTTTACCTATACGACGTCGTATAATAATTAGGGAATACATTAATTGAAAAAGGGAAAGATGCGGTGAGCGTGGATCGAACACGCGACCTTCAGATCTTCAGTCTGACGCTCTCCCAACTGAGCTATCCCCGCATGTTGACTTCAAATGAGTTTTTAAAAATTAAATTTATTGGAAAACTTTGTTGATACCAAAGCAAGGCCATATGTGGGAATCCCCTTCCAATTGCACACACTTTTCGTAAGTATAATTTATCAGAAAGAGTTCATCTTCATACATTGGAATATATGGTCTAAATTTTCCAGCCACAAGCAACTTTAACCAGAGGAACCACATACACATCGCATTCCTGTGCATATCCTTCAATTCTTCGATTATATTGTACTCAATTGTTTCGACTCCTGCAAAATACCAGTCAGGGAACAAGTTAAGATATATACATGATATACAATGCCAGCTCTAAGTGTGTGCCATGTCTGCATTTGCACCGGATCCACTATTTTCTCTATTTTCATTAACTAATTAGAGCACTTTTCAAAAAAATATCTGTAAATTAGAGCTTTTATTTACAAAATTATATATAGACAAAAAAATGTTTAAAAAAACCAAAGAAAAGGAAATCAATTACTCGATTTTCTCGGTCGGCTAAATTAGGTGATTAGTCTTAAGTTTAAAAAAAAATAAAAAACGAAAATACTCAAAGTAGATAAGGAACAAAAACAATTAAAAGGAAAGTAAAACATGATCAAAAGAGAAAAAAGGAAAGTAGTTAACGACGGAGCACTCTCGATTACAAAAACAAAATAGTAGTCGCCGACTCAATCATTATCTTATAAATACAGTGCCAAGGCTTCTCAACCAAAACAAAACAAAAATAGAGCTATTTCGAACTGTAAAACCCTAAAGAGTATAGCGACGAAGATGTTCAGAGACAGAGAAGTTATGATGAATGTTGACGAATCTTCACTGAAGTTTGTGTCTGTTCTTGGCCGAGGGGGTTATGGTTCCGTCTCTCTCATGATGGACTCCAACTTCAGATTATATGCAGAGAAGTCATCTCCGTTGAGTCACTTGAAGAATCTCGAGAAAGAGCATAGGATCATGCTTCGTTTCCGTGATCATCCTCGCATCGTTCAAACCACAAGCCCTCATCTTCACATAGGCATCAAACCCGAAAGATGCTTCATCTATATGGAGTTTGCCTCCAGAGGCACTCTCCACGCCATGATCTCCCAGTTCCGTGGAAGACCAATGCCTGAAACTTTGATCGGACGCGCCGCTCTTATGATCCTGCAAGGAATCGAGGCTCTTCACTCGCACGGCTACGTTCACTGCGATCTCAAACCAGCCAACGTCCTCCTCTTCCCTTCCAAGACTTTTGGAGAGCCGTGGGATCTCAAGCTTGCTGATTTTGGTTTATCCAAGGAGCCTTGTACGGATTCTAGATCTTTGTTTGGTGGTACAGAGCAGTACATGCCTCCCGAGTCTTTTGGCCCAAACAGAGTGATGAGACCGGCCGTTGATATATGGTCTCTAGGGTGTGTTGTTCTTGAGATGTTTGGAGGCTGTCCAGAGAAGATGGGAGATTGTTATACGTGGAGGCTTCCCAATCTTGTCTCGCCTATGGCCAACGACTTCTTGAGGCGTTGCATGGATCTGCAACCGTCACGTAGAGCCACCGCAACGGAGCTATTGAACCATCCTTTTGTTGCGCAAAGAAGGATCAGTCTTCCACCACGGACAGAGATTCCTTCTTTCCTAAGGTTTCCTTCTGTCATAAGGAACAATGTTATGGAGGAATATTCTAAAAGGCAAGAAGGACCGGTGATGATGATGGTTCCAAGACCTGAAAATTTAATCTGCTGAGAACAAACGGTGGAGAAAAGAAAAGAAAAGAAAGGAGATCTCAACCAAGGCGGCTGTTTAGGTTTCGGTTGTTAAAGAATCATAATGTATTTAGGTTTTAACTGAGTCTGTGTCTTGACTTGTTGCACAAGTTATAAAGCATATGTTGGTTTCTACTTGTGAGTTTTGGTATTTGCGTGTGAATGGCTACGTTTCAGGCTCTTTTAGGTTGCATTGTAATATATTTTCGTATTTTATCAGATATTAATATTTTCAGATTTAGTATAAAAAAATTCATGTTAGTTACTTTCAGATTAAGTACAATCTGCGAAGTACAGTATATCACAGCTATTAAACTAGACCAAACTAACTCCGACCAAAAGCTACCTGTGTCTCTCGGGAATCAAATCTCAGTTTGATCGACAAAACATTAAAATGAAGCACTTTTTTTTTTGGAATACCTTAAAGTTTAGAGAAAGCAAACCAATCCTCACTAAAGAAACATATCCAAACAGGATTGCAAATACAACAACCACGAAATCAAACAACTTACATTTATATATTAGGAAACTCTCTTTTAGGTACTTTCTAGCTTTTCGACATGATCCTTTCCTGAGATCTTCATAGAAGTGCGTGCATCAGAGGTCTGATATATCTCATCGTCCTCGTCATTAACAAACGCAGAAAATGTAAGAAAAATGTACCAAAGAAAGCAGGAATACCAGGTATCTGCAGAATAACGTGAGGGCCAAGGACAAAGAGCATGACCAAGAAGAAACTCATAGATATAATGAAGATGACTATGACAAGTCCTCTAACACTTCCTACCGTAATAACCACCCCAAAATAAAACGCACACGGCATAAAGAACAGAGCAAAAAACAGTGACATAACAAACAACAAAACCATCGATCCGGAGATAATCAGATAAAGACAGTTACGGGTTGAAGAAACCCTAAATAGATAAACAAAACTCTGATTCTCCCTTATACGACTCCATTTTCGGCGTTAACCTTTGGGGGTAGTTTGGGAGTTTGGGCATTTTTTCTTCAAAGCTTTGCTAAAAACGATGGCATATTTTCGAGCATATGCAAAAAAAAAAAAAAAAAAAAAAAAAAACTCTCAAGATTTCATTACATTCAGTACAAGAAGTCAAAGAATCTTGAACTTGAGTACTCACTCTTTCAAGGTTGACATCTACTCTAGTAATCTATGTCAATTGTGTACAAAGTTAACGAGCAAATATAAATCATAACACCAAAGAATGGTTCCAAAATGTTTTATAAAGAAAAAACATATTTATTTCTTTGAGTGGTACACAACAGAAAGACAAGAAATGAAACCACAGTAAGGAAAGACATTGAAAGGAAGAGTGCTCTCTTTTTAGGTGCTTTCTTGCTTTTCGATGAGATTCTTGCTTGAGATCTTCGTAGCAGAAGCATGTGCAGAGGCGTCCTCATCAAGAAGCCATACGAATGGCACAAAATATATACCAAAGTAAGCAGGAATACCAGGTATCTGTAGAAGAACGTGGGGGCCAAGGACAAAGAGCATTATAAAGAAGAAGATCACAGATGAAATGCTGAGGAAGATCACAAGCCCCTTAACCTGCGCAAATACAACAAGAACGCCAAAATAGAATGCCCCTGGCATGCAGAGAAGCGCCAAAAACAGTGACGGCAATGCCACAATTAAAGATCTTTGAACGAGTGCTGGATCGCCCAACTGCGCCCAGATTAGAGTAGCAATCGTCACGATGGAGCTTTGCATTGCCAGGATGTCAAAGACCATAAATGCGACGAGTTTGGTGTCATTAGCTAGAGTTGCCATGCCCAAGTTAGGATCAGAGCTGTTGAATCCACCTGGTATTGTAAAACCAGCAGCAAATGTTACGGTTGCTACAAGAGCTGCCACTACTAGAAGAGTATTGATGTAATCTTTGTTTTTGTCACTAGCTGTGGGATCTGATCGTTTTGTCATACTTTTCCCGTGAAAGATTGATAACACCATTAGGGTCACCCTCTGTAATCCAAACAAGAGCAAAAGGCCAATAAATTGTCAAAAATATACTTATCGTTAATACGGGAACATGGTGGGACATCGAAGATACCTCCATGAAGATGTAGTTGGGTTGCGTATTTGCCTCCACAACACCAAGAGCTGTTAAACCACTGTTGTTCCGTATGTTTAACCACTCTTCCGCGGTTGTTGTTAATTGGAAAACAAGAGAACTTTTCAACGCGCTCATGGCAGTCAGGAACTGATCTGCAAACATATACGTATGATTTTTCCCAAAATAACACAGAAACCAATAAAGAGTACGAGGGCGCCAGTTTATGGCAGCCAGGTGTATAGGTGTATTCCCATCCACATCTTGCTTCACCATCAGCTGTTTCTCCATAATACTTATCTCGCGTAAACCAGCCAGAAAGAAAAGTGAAGATTTCCCACTCTTTGCTGCAATGTGAAGAATGTTTTGACCTTGTTTGTTAAGGAGGTATATAGTATCTGGACAACGCTTGACAAGCATGTGTACGACAAAAGTATGACGTTTATCTACAGCACAGTGGATCGGAAAGGATCCATCGTCATTGCATACATAAACACTTTTTTGAGATCGGTTTAACAACTTCCGTACTCCTGCGGAAAACCCTATAGATGCTCCAAATGAAAGACAAGTCATTCCTTCTTCATCACGCTCGTCCTCAAGGCTTGGGTATTCGTCAAGAATAAGATCAAGGATATCTGCTCAAACAAGTGAGAATATATGAATTACTAGCACAGCTACGAGCCTACGAAGATCTGGCTCAGAACTAGTTAAATATAGAAATTTGAAAAGGCAAACCAGAACCTGTCCTCCTGGCCTTCAAAGCTTTGTGTACAAGAAATTTTCTCCCTTCAAGTCTATCATTGTCTCTGGTTCTCAACATTGCTTTCACAAGGACTTCCTCTCCAGCTTCAACTGCCAAATACAAGGGAGATATTCCATCTTTATTCGCAAGAAATGAAGCACATCGGTTCGCATGTATCAAAGAAGAAGCCACAGACCAATATCTATCTTTATTATGGAGTTCCTTCAAGACCAAATGCAAAGGAGTATCTCCATTTATGTCCTTGCAAACATAGAGATTCAGTATGCTCCTCTCTTCGTCATCAGAAATTTTAGCTGAGACAAATTCTATTGTCTCAATAAGAGCCTCAACAACATCTTTATGACCAGCACGAGCGGCCACATGAAGCGGAAGCTGATCCCTTGAGTCTAGCTTTAGAAGAAGACATGGACATTCAGAGACTATACTTTTCACTAGTTCAAGATGACCCCACGAAGCAGCAACATGAAGAACAGAATCTCCTTGATCGCTTTGGAGACATGCCATTGGCTGACCATCGCTTTTCAATTTCTCCATCCATTCTTTCTTACCTGCGCTCACTGCGGTAACGATCTCAGGAGTCATCGGCACAGACTCACCGGGGGAGTCAAACAGATCATACAAGCTGATCTTGATAAAGAACTTCGGCTCAGACTCGGTACCTTCTGTGCCTTCTTCGGCTGGAAGGAAACCTCGTGACCGGAGTGTGCTAACGATCCAATGTATAATGAAGGATATGGGAAAAATGGGCACGCCTCTTAACTTCCGTGGGTAGGCATCCACTGACTCTTGTGCCTCAATTCCATCTAGACGTACTTCAGAACTGGCCATCACAAACCTAAAGTCATCCACAAATCGTTTGAAACGCACTGTTATACTATAGCCGACCAAAAAAAAAAAAAAAAGTCAACGATTCCAAGAAGAGAGGAAAAGAGTGTTTTTACCAAATGGAAGAAGGAGATCGGCTTTGCTAAAGCTTGACAGGAGAGAGAGAGAGAGAGATTATACGTTAGTCCATTTATAAAAGGGTCCTATACATGTAAATTTCTCTCTGTGTCTCAAAGTCATCAAAGTCAATGCAGAGACAGAGGAGAGAGGTATGTCTTTTTCTTTATTTTTTGACATTTGAAATTATACTATGGGATTAGAAATTTCTGAAGAACATTACAGAAGAAATGCCTGGCTTTAATCCAAAAGGGAAAGTTTTATAAATCAATCTGGACAATTAGCGGGACAATCCAGTTCAACCGGTTGGACCGGGCTACTTTTTTATCCCAGCAATATATATAATTCAGAACAATCGTAGAGAATATAATATAACATGTTAGTTGTATTTATAAGTAAGTAAACTGAAATTACTAAAAATTATGAAGCAATAGTCCAAAACTCAGAATTGGAGTTTTGAGTGTAGTGACTACAAAATGACATTCCGAAAAACTAGTCCAATTTCTAAAATTACTAAAAATTATGAAGCAATAGTCAATTTCTAAAAACATAGTGGAGTGTAGTGGTTAATTTGAGTGTCAGTCAATACCAATGTTCATTAAAACTTCTATAAATTAATATTCGATAAATTAATAATCACTATAAATTAATAAATTTTGCTGGTCCCAAATCGGATCAATGTAAAAATTCATCAAATTTGATAAGATAATAAGATAATAATTTTTTTGAAACCCTTATATAAATATATGATCCCAACAAAAACATAAATTAATAATTATATAAATTTATATAAATATATATAAATATAATATTCTAAAATATGACTAATGTCTTTGTTTTTACTTAAAGTTGAAATCTTATTGGTTCTCATCTCTCTAATTATTATATTAGTAGCTCTTATTGCTATTTTACTATATACATTCAAAATGTATAATGATTTTTTTATGTGATAATTAATTTTCTTACATATAAATATTTTTAAATGTATTATAGTATTATCTTCAATTTTATCATCAATAATACTGATAATAGCTGTGGTTTTTTTATAACTTTTAAAGTTATGAACATGTATATTTTTACATGGACGATCCAATATGGTGTTAAAAACTATTTTATTGCGATAGTTATGATTGTTAATCATAATTTATATTATGAGATTTGTTAAAATTTGGAAATATAACATTATTCCAAAGAAATTTTTAGAAAATTACATGCAAAAAGCAAATTTTCTCTCTATAAATTAATAATTATTAATTTATAGATAAATTAATATCACGATAAATTAATAAAATATCATGGTCCCAACATTATTAATTTATAGAGGTTTTACTGTATATTGAACCACACCATCCATCTCTCCGCACCAACTTGATAGAAGAGATTACACCAAATAAAAACTCTACACTAATGAATAATGACCAAGTATATTGTTCTTATATATTATCCCAAAAAAAAAGTTCTTATGAAGAAAAAGGAGGTGCCTTGTGATCCAACCAAGCTGACACTAATCTACTTGTTTAATGATTAATCCATAGGATTATTGTATATCATGCTCTAATATAGTTGCCTGAACCTTCGGATAACAGTAATTTAAAAGAGAGAAAAAATGAAAGCAATAAAAACAGAGTAACAATGCATGAGTTTTCTAACCGGTTTCCTCTACCGAAGCAACGTCTTGATTCCCAATAGCTGAGGGGAGGCTTGAGCTTTTACTAATGATGATATAGATTAGTAATCAGAGAACAGAAAATGTCTTAATATTGTCAAGGAAGAAGTAAAAAGTGAAAATGTCTCAATGAGAAGGAAACAAACACGTACCTTCCTTGTTCTTTTATTTATTTCATTTCCATCAGAAAGAAACCTTAGACTTGGAATGGCTATATAAAGTTCACCATATTGTTTATTACAAAAAAAGGCATGATTCAGAAGAAGAAAAGAAAGTATTCGATAAATAGTAAATATCCAACGACTTAGAGGTTTCTTGAACTTCAAATGTCAACCATGCTTTGCGGAAGAAGAAACCAAAATTAGCTTTTGAGTCGTCTAATAACAATTTTATATTGTTGGGCTTTTCAAACTCATGTCCAACTTTCTATTAGTATATATGATATTGTCCGCTTTGGGTTTAAATGGTAAAACCTGCACGGATTTATTTTTAAACTTCTTCTCAAAAGGTCTCACTAAACTGTTGGACATCTTGCTTATATACTAGATCATATTAGTCTAAACTTCCATATGGGATTTGAATTGACATCACAACATATATTGTCGAATTCCACATCTCTCCCAGCTTCACTTACCCTTGAAGTCTTCCAAAACAGCGCTAAAATAGACTAATAGCTATGAAAGGTCAAAACCCAGACTTTTCTTTCTTCTCTTCTCTTCCATAGATGTAATAGAGTGAATCTTAAAAGAAAACTGGAACTGTTGGACTTTCAAACCAGCGGTGTAGATACTTTTCCTTAATGATATGCTTTGACCTCCTCTCTAAACCTAAGGAAATCTTCAGGACATGATTTTATCGAAAGCATGATGACATGAAAAGCTATACATTCATCGTACCAATCTAACTCATACATGATAACGTGAAATTGCCAGTATTCGGACGGTAAACAACGTATATAGCAGGAAACAGCTACAGCTACCTTGTCTTACAGTAACATGCACTTGTTTGAGAACAAGTAGTAGTCTTAAAATAATCAGAAATAAAAACTGTAACATGCATGCGCATAAAAAAATTAGCATTGGATACATATTACAGATACAGAAGTTCGTTTTCAATCTGATCGAGAAAGAGCTCGTGGTGGGGGTGGTGATAGTATTTATGTAGTTCTATGGCGAAAATAAAAAACAAGAAATTTAGCACTTAGCTCTTTGATTATTTAACCGATAAAATGTGTAGAGTTGACAATGGAATGATGGATCTTCTTCTTCAGCTGCTCCTGGCTATCTTCTCGATTCTGTTTGCCCCTAATATTCCTTCCATATCCAGAGCTGCATCGAAACACTACGTCGATTGTGATTCTTGATCTTTCCTTCATTCCAGAGAGAGAAAGAGTAAATTCACTTCCGGTCATGAATTCTCCGGAATCTCCAACTCAGTCGTCGTCAAGAAACAAAGCAACTTCCGCCGACTGATGAATACGAGTCTGATACAACTGAATCATGTATTATCAACAGAGTTACCAGAAATTGAATCCAATGTTCATAAAAACAAAGAATCCAATGTTCAACTTACAAGTATCTGGAAATGAGAAAGATCCTTGCAGAGGAAGAACAAATCGAGATTACAGAGAATTTCAAGAAGAGAAACAAACTTAACAAACTTTCGAATGAATTCATTTCTCTTTCCAACTTCTTCTTAAATGCTTCTCTTCCAGCTCGAATGAATCATTGCCGTTGATTCTTCTCCTTCCATCGAACCATACACGTGTCCTTTATTTGTATATAGTATAAGCTATATCAAATCCTTCCCCTTTAGACAACCATGTCCTCATGGTTGAAACTCTGGAAACCTCTGCATCAAATCAAATAAGAATTCTCAAGTAGCTTCAGCCTCATCCTCACCTGTCCATTTAACCAACACTTTAGTAGCAGCACTTCCTTGCCGATTAACCATCTTACGTTCTAGAATACGTTCAGGTTCTTTAGTCAAAACGTCTTGAATAACCGATGGTAACTGAGTACCCCCACTGACACATCTCCAATACGCAGTTTCAGCTGGGACACGTGAAAAACAGGATGTATCTTAGATGAAGCTGGTAACTCCAACTTGTAAGCCACGTTTCCACATTTTTCAATCACCTTGTATGGACCATAATACTTCGGTAACAATTTCTGATTACCCCTCAACACCACTGAGCCTTGTCGATACGGTTGCAACTTTACAAACACCAAATCTCCAATCTCAAAGCTCCGATAAGACCTTTTCTTATTTTCACTCTGTTCCATCTTGTGTCGAGCTTGGAGTAAGTGAAATTTCAAAAACAACATGTTTTCACGTTCTTATAAGCTTCTAGCAACCACTGCAACTTTGGATTCACCAGGTAGATAAGGTAAATGTATTGGTGGTTCCTGTCCATAAACTAACTCATAAGGTATGGATTGAGCCGAAGTATGGAAGGTTGTATTATACCAATATTCTGCATATGGAAGCCACTTACTCCACACATAAGGCCTATCGCTGCACATGCATCTCAAATAAGTTTTCAGGCATCGATTAACAACTTCACTTTGGCCAACACTCTATGGATGATATGCATTAGAGTAGTAAAGTGCAACCCCCTATAGTGTGAATAACTCTCTCCAAAATTACTGAGAAAAACATCATCACGATCACTGACTATGTAATTGGAAAGGCCGTGTAGTTTGAACACGTTATCTAGAAAGAGTTGAGCCACTGATGCTGCAGTATAAGGGTGACTCAGAGCCATGAAATGAGCAGCCTTAGACAATATATCCACCACCACGAATATAACTGATTACCGAAGGAAGGAGGTAACCCATCGATGAAATCCATCGAAATTTCTGACCACAGTGAAGCTGGTATAGGCAATGGTTGAATCAATCCCGGCAAAGCTGCATTATCGTATTTACACTGTTGACAAACAGGGCATCCTCTGATAAACGCTTGAATGTCTTTCGCCATACCTTTCCAATAAAACAAGCTTTTCACACACTGATGTGTAGCATCTCTTCCTGAATGTCCTCCCACACCAGAACTGTGAAGCCAGTCTAAAATGTTATTTCGAATTGTTGGATCTGCAGGTACTACAATCTTTGTCTTCCTGCGTAAGATGTCTCTTGACCACACATAATGCTTTTTAGAATCTGGTTTCACCTTTAAAGCTTCAATGATGGTCTTTAAATTTGCATATGTGTCATAA